CTTTGGAGAAATTCAAGGAGTTTCGAACGAAAGTTGAAAAACAATTAGGTAAGAGTATCAAGGCCCTTCGATCTAATCGAGGTGGCGAGTATTTATCCCAAGAGTTTAAGGTCTATTTATCGGATGATGGGATATTATCCTAATTGAGTGCACCAAGAACTCCCCAGCGGAATAGTGTCTCGGAAAGAAGAAATTGAACTCTTTTAGATATGGTAAGATCAATGATGAGTTATTCCTCATTCCCTATATCATTTTGGGGATATGCACTACAAACAGCCATTTATATCTTAAATTTGGTATCATCTAAGTCAGTTCCCAAGACACCTCTTGGATTGTGGAATGGGCGCAAGCCCAATTTACACGACATTCGGATATGGGGATGTCCAGCACATGTGCTAAAGGGAAAGACAGATAAGATGTAATCAATATCAGATGTTTGTTTCCTTGTAGGATATCCAAAAGAAACGAGAGGTTACTACTTCTATAATCTTCTTGATAAGAAGGTATTTGTTAGCACAAATACAATATTCTTAGAGGATAAGTATATAGAAGAACACAAGTCTACTTCTAAGATTCTATTGGAAGAGATGTTAGAACATGGTTCAAACAACTCAGTTCCAGATTTTCGCATAGAATCTAATAGTTATGACTTGAAACCTCCTACTGAACCAATGGTTGCTGATGAAGCAAGTGAGCAAGTGATGCCCACAGGGCCTTATAGGCAAATAGAACCAGGGATAGTAGAGAACGAGGCACCCATTGTTGTATCTCCACATATCCCTTCAAATGGGGATAATGAGGATGTTGTTCCTAACCAAGGACAAGATCAAATAGTGGGAAGAGAGAAAGGACCTTTAGTCAAACTAGACAATCAAGCACCTTCAACCATTACTCATAGTGGGAGGGTTGTCAGACTACCTTCTAGATACTTGCTCTATGAAGAATCCTATCAGACGATCTCTACTGAGCAAGAAGAAGATCTCACTTCGTTTAAGGAAGCAATGGAGGATGTAAACTTTGAATCATGAAAATTAGCCATGAACTCAGAAATGGAATCCATGTATTCCAACAAGATTTGGGATCTTATAGATGCAACTAATGGGGTAAAGCCTATAGGATGCAAGTGGATCTATAAAAGGAAAAGAGGTATAGATGGAAATGTTGAAATCTTCAAAGCAAGGCTAGTGGCCAAGGGTTTTACCTAAAGAGAAGGCATTGACTATAAAGAAACCTTCTCACCGGTTGCCATACTTAAATCTATTCGAGTCCTTTTATCTATTGCTGCTCATTATGATTATGAGGTTTGGCAAATGGATGTCAATGCAGCATTTTTAAATGGACATCTTGAGGAGACCGTCAACATGATGTAACCTGAAGGGTTTGTGAAAGAAGGTCATGAAAGGAAAGTTTGTAGGTTGCAGAGGTCCAATTTATGGACT